AGCAGCAAAATTGTGCGTATGTGTGTGCACGTGCGTGCATGTGTGTGTTATTATTAAAATATGTGTCTTTTACATGAGTAACTCAGTTGTCCATCCTGTTGGATTCAAACTGACAAAATGGTCAGAACAAGACCGGTGTTACTAGCCAGAGAAAGCCCCAAAGGGCCTCTGCCATTATCATAAAAATGAATGTCTTTATATATTTATGGATCTGCATTTCTGGCAAACCATCAACCAGCATAAGCCATTGTCATTTAGGAAAAACAGACACGTACACAAATAGCAAAAATAACTTTTTTCTTCCCAAGGAGCATTTCAGCTTGACAAGTATTCAGGCAGGGATTAACTCCATGTTAAAGTCAAATATGTAACAGGAGAAACTTCCCCCCTTTTGCACATTAAAAGGCTGCTGGTTTTGTCACAGTAGGAGCTTTCTTAAGTGTTTGGGCTCCTGACAAAAAGCTTGTAGGCAATTCAGGAGTCATACAACAAGCTTCATTGTTTATTCTGTTAGTTCTTTCTTTCTCCTTCCTTCCTTTCTTTTTCCCTCCCTCTCTCTCCTTTTTCCTCTCCAGGATAATCACTTCACATCCACTTTATGCAAACTAAAATTAATTTAGGTGAGACTAAAAACACTTTATAATGAGTGCCTTGAATGATGAAAACATGCAATTATAAATGTTGTTCTGTCATCACTCAACAACCAGCTCAAATATGCATCAATTTGAAGAATATTCTTATGAACCTACCACTACGACACTGCCATTAGAAGAATGGCAGGAGACTTATGCAAACAGGTCACAACTGGATATAAAATGACCTCAGAGGCCAGAGGTGAACAATATCTAGTTGACCGTTGGCTGGTCCCCCAAATCAGAATTTTTTTTTCCCCCTTACTATAAAGGAGTTAGCTTTGTGGAAAGAAAGGAATGTGGAAGAAGGTGCCACTATTTATGAAAGATGATACTGTTACAAATGTTGATGAAAACCTGATTTTGTCAGACAAATTGGTTGGATCCTGAACCAAAAAGGCTGATGGGTGAACAGAGTGATCTTAATTGGTTATTCCATTGCTGCTTCCTCTGATTCTCTTGAAGAGTATCTGGTAGTGCGATAAAGAAATTCCGCTTGGCCAAAAATGTTGCAACCTCAGACATGGCCAAAGAAAAACTCTATTCAGTTCTCATCCTTCTTCTTTCTGAGGAAGAAGAGAATTTGCAAATTTTTACACACATTGGATCAGTGGCAAAATCAACAGAGATCTGGTTGGCATTTCATAGAATCTGGCTCTTAGATGGAGGTCTAGAAGAAACACGAGAAACATACAGACTGCTTGGTGTCTTGATGCAGTTAATGACAGGGAAGGGAAGAACTTCTCTTGGGCTGCAAATGTTCCTAATTTTATTAAGCCATTAAACCTCAATCTGTTGAACACCTCTTTAGGAAGACAATTGTCTGCTAGATGAAGATTTTAATTTTCATGAGTTTGTCTCTGGGCTCCAAAAGTTGATACCAGGCAGCCTTTCAGCTGTAAAAGCCACTGATAGTGTGTGTTTTTAGCTCTTAGAGACAGATAATGTGTTTCTTTTTGTATTTTGAACAGCAATCATTCTTGATTTCATTACATCTGGATAGAAATATGGAACGGTGTTTCAAATGAATAGCTTAGTTCTTATAGTGAAACATCTGGTATTAACATCTCTGTTAGCTTCCCTCAGAACTTCTTGGAAAGAAAAATCCTCTAGATTTGCTCAGAATGTATCTGTAAGTAAAATTCTCACAGAGCAGCTGGGTCTTAACAAATGGATTGGTGTGAAGTTGCTGAGCTGGTAAATGACATTTAACTGGAATTGCAAGGTGCCATCGTGAGAAGAAGAGAGAATGCTCTGTTTGGATAAAGGTAAACTATTTGAGACCCTGGTGCACATAGATTCCTGAAAGCCTTGGGTTTTGAGCTTAGAAGCCTAAACTACATTTAATCATATAAGTGTTATTTTAATTATTCTAATTAAATTACACTTATTTCTTTTTGGAGATTTGGATATAATAAAGGAGGGCAGAAAAGTAACTCATATTTTTGAAGCCATTCTGCAAGAGTTTATTGGTTCTTGCAAACCTCTTTGAAGCACATCAGCTTTGAAGCTTATTAAGGATGCCTTGGGATGGAAGTCAAGGATTCCACATCGTGATTGTGCAAAAGATTTGCTCAGTTCATGATGCTTGGCTCTATTAGTGGCCCATGATTTCTCTGAAACGAGAAGCATACTTTCTTTGAAAAGTTCTTGTAAAGCTTGAATTGTGAGATGTAAAAAATGGCGTTGTGATCTTTTCTATTTTTCATCCTAGTCTGAAACAGCAAACAAAACTGAGAGAGTGTTGCTGTGAGAAAGCTCATGAAGGTTAATTTTGTTAAGGCTGTACCAAACACCCTTCAAGGTGATAAATTCCTAGTTGTAAATGAATTTGTCACTATGAATTCAACAAGAGCTACCTTACAATTCTATTGTGGAAGAAAAGACATCATGATACTTGGCATTTCCATGAGAGATCCCTGATTATGTTAAGCCATTAACACCACACACACACAAACACACCTGTAGCATTCAACATCATTCTGACACACCTGTGATCATTCCTCCCTAGAGATAGCATGATCTCTTGTTCTCTGTCTAGATACTGTGGTGTAAGTGTCTGCCTGTTGGTGGACACTGAATTGAAAGAACTGTTTAATGTATTTCAGATTTTGGCCTTTTACTTGTTTAAATGGCTTTGTTTCATCTCTTTCTCCTCTGGGTTATAAGGAAATAATAGTATATATGCACACCATATATTCGTGTGTGTGTGTGTGTGTGTCCTATGTGTTTGGATCATATGAGAATCTCAGGATAAAAGATCAATAATCTTGAAATGGGGAGGGAGATGGAGATGGAGATGATAAGATGTCCACTGGCTCAGAAGTAAGCTATGGGGAAGTTCAAATTTCAGGATGGGTGGTAGAATGCCATTGAATAGCGTCTTTATGTCATGGGAGAGGAAACAGTGGAAGACATAGTTTAGGATGTCATGAAGATAACTGATTGACTCTGGTATTAATTAGGATTGGGTGAAGACAGCCAATAAGTGCAAATATACCACATTTCAACAACTCTTTCAAGTTTCTGCAAATTGAATAATAACGATGGGGAAAAATACAGTAAATATTTCTGCTTGGTGCCATCAACAAGTTATTTCATCTCTGAAATCAAAGCAACTTCTTAGCCATACTGGCCTCTAATCTGCAGAAAGCAAATTCTAATTATAGATGTAAAATAATAATAATTAAAAAAAACATTTCACGTTATAAATAAATTACTGAGTTATACCATTTCCAACTAACTACAAGCTGTTCACTTATTGTACCTACAATGTTCTCTCCCACCTCAAGAGAACACCAAGATCTGAAATTTGAGAATGGGTTAACAATTTAAAAAGCTGGAGTTTAACCATGTTGTCAACAATATTGTTAGCCATGTTAATGCTGACTTTTGGGGAGACTAAAGACTGGATAACATGATTATTGAAACTGTTTTAGCAACAGGGTTAGAATTTGGTTCAGCTTAAAGTGATCTTCTCAATATTAATCAAAACAATTAGTTCTGAACACCTCATTTAGAAGACTGTTTCACCAATTAAGGATTATTGGCATTTCTTTTTTATTCAAATTGACTTCAGACTTCAACCTGGAAAAAATGGAAAAATCAAATATTAACAGGTTGTAGTACAGAAACTGTTTGCTGAAAATGAACATTTTTGCAGAAAAAGACATTAAACATTTTTGCAAATGTTTTATTTAAGGATATCTGGTAATTAGGTGAGAAAATACTTTCTCTCTCTCTCTCTCTCTCTTAAGGCAGATGGGTACAAATCTTGATATCAGCTTTTATATTTGTGTTTTTTTTCAACTAGGACAATCATAGGATAAAAATATTTCACATACCATTTAGACTGTGACAAACCATGTGGCCTTGTTTGAAATTAGCAATGTAGCCAATGACAAAGATGATGCAAAAATCTGAACAGCACATTTAACTGGTCTGAATACTATTTTTTTTCATGATAAACTTCAGATACATTTTCTTATCAAGAGCATCCTCTGTGTATATGTCAGAGAGAAAGGTTCATCTGATTAATTAAGGGCATCTTAATTAATCTTGACTAGTTTTAATCTGGATAACTTTGTTCTCTCTCCCCCCTTTTCTGGGTGATGGTGGTGATTTAACATCTATGAAAATCAACATATCTGGTTATTTTAGGATTCAGTGTATTGCATGAACCCAATGGGTTGATTCAGTAACTATATTAAGCAGGTTGTACAAACCTAGCCCATCTTCCTCTTAGTATGACAAGATCAGAAGAGAACCTAGGGTGAATAACTGTTTTAACCCCAATAACCAAAACCTCATACAAGCAGCTTAAAGTTTAGACTCGACAGAAAAGTGCTTAGCTAAGGAACAGGCCTCATTATGAATACAAGATTGCCTGTAGATGAGGGTCTTAATGAGGTCCAGGAAGACCCCACTTAAGAAACTTCACAGTCCTAGATACTGTGCTGGAAAACATTTGTCCACCCTTGGCTTCATAGCTCCTATCCTGAATTTGTGGCACTTGACTCCACTTGGCACTTGGACTGTGAAATCTGCTTAGATTTTTTGCATATGAAAGCATTTGACTTGATTTTAATTGGAACTCTCATGTCGGATCCAGATTTGCTTTCTGATCCTACTTCTTCCTGGCTAGGTTTGTACAACATAATAGTCTAACCAAAGAGAGTTGTTAAGCTTGGATTTAGCAAGTTGTAGGAATGCAGCCATTGCCTTGGCATGTGGCAGAAACCAAGCCTTCGTGCTAAGCCGTAATCTAACGTATTTGGGCACAGAGTGTTATATTAATAAAGAATGTGCATTTTGTTAAGCTGGGTTTAGTAATAACTTCAATTTTCTTCAACTCTCTTTCTACCCAAGCTGCAGGATAAATGCCTCCCGTTTAAAAGAAGCAATAGACATCTTGACAGGATGAAGGTAACTTACTCCTTCTCATCTCTAGCCCTGATTATTTTCTATCTTCACAGCTGATTCCCAATTTGTTACTTGACTGTTCCCCCAACCTCTTCTTCACCATTCCCCCCAAACCCCCTCTTCACATCCAGATTCCTAGCTGCTGCTTCCTATGAAGGCAAGAATGCTTATTTGTAATAGAAACCTATACCCAGACGGTTATTATTTTGAAAACAATCACTATCCTATCCATCTTTGAGCTTGAAACAAGAAGCAATTGTGTACAACTACAAAGATCACACCACACAGGGTAGCACCCAATCGATTAAGAATGCAGACTTATTAACCAAACACTATGACAGCTAATCAATAAAGCTTTACCCTGGTTCACCTGCACTATCAGTTTTTGGAGGTATTTTAAACAAATATCCCTTCCAAGCTGAATGATGAAGCTCTTCAGGTTCTGTTTGCTGGTTCATGAACAAAAAGCAACCTTTTGTGTGTGTGGTTATTTTTAAATGTCATGTCTATCCCGTTCACCACTCAGAATAAAGCTAGTAACAATTAACAGGTTTCTAAATGTAATTGCAATAGTGTTGTAAGTCTGGGGTGAAATGGTGCATAAATTTGAATTTGGAGTATCTGTGCATATTTACAATTCAAGTAGCAGGGTCAACCCCTGAAGTCAATTTTGAAACTCCCTGGTTTGGGTTGGCCAACTATGCCAATGAAGTTATTATAAAATGCACTTAATTCTCTCTCTCCCTCTCCCTCTCTTTCCACACACACACACACATCCCAAATATTGATTTCTGTATTACTTATCAAATACAATGTTATTTTTTTTTAAAGGAAAGGAAAATAAAAAGGATAAAGAAGGCATTTAATAGTAATTCTTTTACAGTAGCGCTGTGTGAAGTCTTGGCAATTGTGATGCTAAGGGGTGGCTCAGAATGACCACGGATAAAAAGCAGAAAGGCAGTAGGAATTCTGTTTTCTTCCAGGCTCAACTTTTCTCACACAAGGTTTATGTTTCCTAGATTCTTTTGCAGGAAACATAAATGCAAGCAGGACCCCATGCCTTTAGCTTTCTCACTCATGAACAAATAAAATATCAATGGCAAGAATTTCTTTTTTATATATTCATTTTGCCTTCCAGGGAGCATCTCTTTCTCCATACACAACGATAAAAAGCTCCTCCTTTGCAACAAAACAAGACAAAACTGTCTATTAGATATTGATTGTTCCAGAAGAAAAAAACGTGGGGAGAGCAAGGAGATAATATAACAAGTTCATCATAGGTGTCTGAACATTCCTGAGAGCTGGAGAATGTGGTGCCAGCGTATTAAAAATAGTACATTCTTAGATGAAAAATCTAAGAAATTTTGTTTTAAATCAATCAAGGCTTTATCGTTTTTAATGGTGCAAGCCTGCAAAATGTGAAAGTGGATCCTACTACTATACATTTGCTTTTCTTCTCATCTTTCTTCTAGTCTCTGTGCTGTCCACGTCTAGGATGAAAGGAGGCTGAAGTTTGCATGAAACTTTTAGGCTGCAGATGTACCACCCCGGTCATAGACAAAGAGGCGTATTTTCTTCTGGAAGACCATATTCCTACACAATCAATATTTTGATGATCACTTGCTTACAATGGGCATTGGATGGGACCTAAATTTATTCTAGGCTGGCCAGTGCCAAAACAAGAGGACCTTCATTGTTGTGGCTAGACAGATGAAAAGATTAGATGAATGAAAAGGTAGATGGCAGATAGATAATAACACAATAGCCAGATCTCACAAAACTCTTTGTTTTCATGAGCTTTCATTAAATTTTACCCATACATGAGCTTGTCTGATGGAACCTGTAGCCCCAAAAGGCACTTGACCCCTGGCATAGCATCTAAGATCATGGTGGATAAGTCTGGAACCAAAAGATAGTTGATTGAATAATTATGTGCTATCAAGTTGGTGCCAACTCTTAGTGACATATAGACAAACCTTCTCCAAGATGATCTGTTCATCTGGCCCTTCAGGTCTTCAAATGGCATACCCATTCCTCTATAATCCAACCACTTTAATGCTGGTCATCCTCCTCTTTAGTTCCACCTTTCTGAGCCAAAGGAAGGCAGGGGATAATATTTAAACCCATGACAGGCAATACATTCTCTCCCCACCCTCCTGGCTTCTTGTTTGCCTACCTGCGAGGCTACTAGAGGAGCACCATAGGATGATTTTCTTCTTGGCAGAGGCCTGGACTGATGATATGCAAAAGTCTTTTGAAAGTAGGCTAATAAACACAACTTACCCATTCCTTTCTAAAAATAAACCAAGGTAGTCCTTCGTTGCTGAGAAAGCATGAGTTACAATGCAATGCCTGCTAATACAATTAGCAGAGTCATCACTCTGTAACTATGAAGGATGTTGCTTTTTTACTTCAGTGAAGGAATCTCTGTGTTCAATCATGCTGTCTCTCTCTTTATTCTAAAATAGAGGATTGGGCTCTTGGCAATATACCAGGATAAGGAGGGCGTTGTTGTTTTTTAAAAAAAATTCTGTAAGAGGTTGACTTAATCCAATGAGCTATGAATATTGCAGTTATCCCTTTCTGGCTAATACCTACATCATATTCACATTACGCTGTTTATTTCCATTCATGATGTGAAATGATCTTTATATATGACTCGTGCCTGATAACATTTTATCAGCATTTTACAATGTGCTTATTAAGTTTTGGGACACGGTGTGAATGTCTAAGCTATTGTCTAAAGGATTAAAAGACTAGCAAAATGTTGATTTTTTTAAAAAAAATCCTAGATCTAATAGATTTAGAGATTAGTTTTAATTGAATTAGTCTTTGATCTTGGATGTTAACTTAAAAGAAAAAAAGACAAGCTTGGCACAACATAAAAGAGTAAGTAAAGAATGATTGTCTTCCCTAAATGAAGTATAGTGTATGTTAAGATAATAATTTAGAGAAATAATGAAAATTTGGCAACAATTTCCCGCTGGTTTTGTGTCTAAGGAGGAATAGGTATTGGTGCAACTATAGAGATATAAAAATAGAATACAGATAAAACAGGTTGCTGATCTTCAGATATTGAAACTCTTTTGGTATCCAGGGAGGAAAACACCTAAAAAACGTAGGTCCTTACTGGCTAAAACAATGATACCAACAAGGAAGATCTATGTCAATATCATGGACAGAAATTGGACCCTCCACACACAGTGTTGAGGAGTGTGAAAATATGTGTGCGTGCGTGTGTGTGTGTATTAATCTATGCCTTTTTAGGGAATGCAGTAGATTTTGTTATTTTGTTTTTGTGTGTTTTTTGTGTGTTTTTTGTGTGTTTTTGTGTGTTTTTTTGTTTTGTTTTGGGTTTTTTGGGTGAGCTTCCCACCACAGAATGGGAGAAAACTAGACTGCAGTGATGAATAGTGAAGCAGGTCTGAGGACATGGAAAGGTAGATTGGAAGCCACGTGCAATTGTGTGACACCAGGTTGCTCATTCCTGTCTTACTGGATTGTCTTCTCCTTTTAAGTGATGGGAATGAACTCAATCCGAGACGCTAGAAAACACCCGAAGAATCCTCCAGTCTTTTCTGAAATAGTGAGCACGTTTGGGCTCTCTGTTTAAAGTTCACAGATAAGCTCACCTATTTTAATATCATTTTAAAAACACGAACATTATCCCCTCCAGAACCACACAGTCACACAGGGTGCATGCACATCCTGAAAGGAAGGATATAAATCTTTCACCCAAATCAGAGAATTCATTTTTCCACCCAAAGGTTTACTACTTTATTTATAATACTGGTTTGGTCAACATCCTTTGGTCTATTTTGCAAATCAAGACAAACACAAGAATGAAATAAAAATCAAAAGTTATCACTGTATAAGTGATAGCGTAACAGGACATTGGGTTTATCAAAAGAACATGAGTAGGTCTCCTAAGTGTAAGTGTTGTGTGTGCTTTATTTTAGGCACATGTTGAAAATAGCATTCTCAAGATTTTACATCAGTTAGAACAACATTTGAATTGCTTCTCCTTCTATATTTCATGAATAAAATTAATTAGATGACAATGTTGTTTATTCAAAATTATTCTTACACATTCTTCCCTAATTAGTTTTATTCATTAATTATTTAACTGCAGGATTACACACACACACCATGCACACACACACACACACCTGTACCTACTGCAAAATTCTGGAAAGGAAGAAATAAATTCTATTTTGTTTTGTTTTTAACAAATCTATGTAAAACTAATTAATTGGTTGTAAATCTTTTACCATGACTTAATGCTGAAGAAAGGAACCTTTTATCTTAACCTTGTCTATGATGAGGAGCTTATCAGTGCATGTAGCTGGTAGAATTGTGACTATTTAGCAAGTTGTAGCAGTTGAGAACTTGATCACTATGATGTCATGAGACAAAAATGCTAACCCAAAACACAAAGGCACGTTTCTGTAGATCTATTCAGAAGAAACAAGAGTCCATCAGATTCAACGCAACTCAGAAAAGTTCAATCAATGGTTTCGCTAGCTTTGTTTGTGTAAAATAGTTCTCATTCAGGATAACATTTTAGGATTATCTTTCATTTTCCTCAAACAGTGCTCAAATGCAACATGTAGAATGGTCTATGTAAACAAGAAGAGCCTATGTTGAAAAAGAAAGATTTCCCACCAGAACCAATAGAGATCATGGCTGTTTATTTTTCTTATAGAAGAAATCTATAATGTTCCACAATTTTATACTTTTCCCCCTCCAAAGGAATACTGTGTATCCTTAGTGCTATGCCAGTTTTGCACCTCATTCTCATCTCAAATTCAAAAATTATTTTGAATAAGTGGATATGAACAGTAGTACAACAAGGCAAATTTAGAAAGGGGTGGGCAGCTTAAATCTGCAGTTTAAATCTGCATCCTCAAAACCTTAATTTATAGTCCTGGAGTTCCCTTCCCCTCACCAAAAGTTTAATGCTCAGTGATAATGGTCTTTTGGGTGTCTACATCTTCTTTAGGTGGTCAAATATCTCACTTGAAGATCAGCGCCATTTTGATGCTGAGAAAGCTTCTATATTTTAAAAATGATGAGGTATGTGTCCATAGATATAGGCATCTATGTAGCATGGAATAGTCCACATGGTATCTTGGGGAACATATGTACCTCCAGAAACCTCCTTTGGCATCTAGCAGCCCCTTATTTTGGTTGATTTATTTAAGAGATACTTACCAGCCTTAAAAAGAGCATTAAAAAAAAAAAAAAAAAACCTCTTCATCCAGGCCTTGGCTTAGGGAAGTTAGGGCATATTCATTCATTCATTCATTCATTCATTCATTCATTCATTCATTCATTCATTCATTCATTCATTCATTCATCTCTGCTGGTGTGGGAGAGAGTTTCATTGATGTTCCCTCTGGATGACACTGTTTTGTTGATGTTGTTGTTTGGTATACATTAAGCCACCCATATGGTCCCTGAAATGGGTTCGTTGACCTGCCATGCAAAGCCAATCAACACAAGCTGAGAGTAGAGACGGCAAAAGTTTATTCTGCTCAGAAGAAAAGGAAAAAATTTCCAGAGCAAGCATACTTTCAGTGGGATGAGTGGGCCTTATAGAGGATTTTGCATACAGTTTCAATATACAGTTTCAACAATAGTTGCAAGATTGCAGACGTTACAAATCATCCATATGTCAATAAACTTCAAACTTTAGGACCAGATATGTCTCCTTCCCTCTGCTATCTTACAGAAACCATACGTTGCTGTTTCAACAAGGATGTTCCCTCCTTGTACCTCCCTGCATGCACACATGTTGTTTTTCGAATTGTTCTTTTTGACAAAGAGGGAAAGACCCTTGGCAGGGCAAGGTAGAGTAGTCTAAGGCTGGTACCTCACCCAGAGTCATAAGAGTTGGGCAGCCTAGACACTTATGAATAAACAAGTAAATAAATCTGTGGAGCTGAAAGAGAGAGGATTGGACAGTTAAACTGAGGACCCTCACATGGATTCTTTGAACACTGGGTAAGCATATGGAATATTCTCCATAACTGAATATAAGAACATAAGCCATGCTCCTGGATCAGACTCCTGGCCCATCTAGTCCTGCAGTCTGTTCTCACAGTGGCCAACCAACTGCTCAAGGAAGCCCACTAGTCTCCTAGCAGGTGGCCTTTAAAGGCAGCCACACAGCCATCAAGGCTAATAGCTACTGATGCCCATGACTTCCATGGTCACCACAAGGTGGAGAAACCACACACTGAGCTTGGTCTGTCTTCGTATAAAGAGACCCGGATTTTATGTGGTTTGCATTGTACTTTAATGGGATGAACAGGAGGGGGAAAAAACCCTAGACTCAGAATATTTCCTTTCTGTCTCATTTTGTCAGAAAGTTCCTTTCCCTCCAATTTTTTTTTCCCCCAAGTGGAAGCATTGATTAATGGACCATGATTTATAGGTGTGTTGCATGAAAAGCCCATTTTGTTCATTCTTTAAAGAGGAGGCACCACATGAGATGTGAAATTGTTAGCATTA